CACCCACACCCACACCCACACCCACACCCACCCACACCCACACCCACACCCACACCCACACCCACACCCACACCCACACCCACCCACACCCACACCCCTTATTCAATTTAAATAAGCAGAAAAACATTGTACACCACAATTTTTTATCAAAATTACACTACAAGTTATTCTTTATTCATGTAAAAATAATGAATATATAGTCAAATTTGAGCGTTGAAATATGTACAATGCATCTCATAACATAAAAAATTTGAAGCGGCTCACCCAGAATTGAAAAAAAATTGAAGGTTTGCTTTTGAATTTCTTAGAATCAGGGATCGAATAAATTTTTGACTGCATAAAGTGAATATAATTTCGTATGCAATATGAGAAATATTGCAGAGATTCTTTTTAATTAAAATAAATTAGATAAACCAGCAACACAACATGTCCGAATATGAAGTCTTTAAATGCAATACACGTCTACGTTCTAAAAGCTTATGAAAAAAGCACAATGACCTACTCGTTCTTTTTTTTTCTCATCTGCAAAAATAAATATAAAATGTCAATGAAGACTATTGTTAACTTTCATTTCTCATCACTACAAACAGCGAACATTTGAATTGTATAATCACACAATGAACACTAATCTAAAATCCAGATCGATAACAAGCACTGATCAGCAACTAATAACACTTAGTTCACTTGGAGTAGCACTCAATATTCCACATCAATCTTTACCATCTGTACCGCGCATCAATAAAGTTCCTCGGCAAAACCTTGCGAAATCATTTGAAATTTCAGTGAGTTTACAAATTCAAACTCTCTTCTCAGTTGAACTTCTTAAATCTAGAATCTATACATGTTCGATTTTTCTCTAAACAGATATCAAATATTCCATCTCTTCGTCAGTATCGAAAACAATCAACAAAACCAACGATCAATCAAAATTTAGTCGGTTCACTAAAAAATAAGACGAATATTGTGAATAAGAAAAAGAACAATCAGGGTTATCAGCCGCAATCGAAAGTAAGATACCCTGATATAGAAGATCTTTTATTATTATTGATTAGTGCTCAGGCAGATAACGATTACAAAAAACGACGTTTTTACCGTTAAAAAATTGATTTTTTTGAAGAAAAAGCAAGTTTGTCAATGTTATCGTCAGAGAGTAGAATACAATTCAGTTGAAGTCATGCAATCATATAGCTTCACCATATTCGTCATCTACAGGGTGGGCCAAAAGTCAGTTTACCGAGACAAAAATTGAATATCTCCGTTACGACTCGAGCAAACGGTTTGATTTTTTTACCGATAATAGAGATCACCTACAGAACGATAGATTCCTTAGCATAATTTGGTATTATTATTGAACTTTGTAAATTCTTTTTTATCTAAGGACTTAAATAAAAAGAGAAAAGATATGGATGAATAAACGACACGTTTTAATCGAAAAACTATTTGATTATTTACATTGCATCTGGATAAATTGGCTCTTTCTCATCGTACACTGTTTTTTCCTATCGGTGAAAAAGTAAATTTTGTTTTGTTCAGATCATTAGTGGTACTTAACAAAGACTCTCTCTCAAGCCTTGTCCATATGGATTTAAAGTGTGAACATGCCTCTATTATCGGTAAAAGAAATCAGTCCGTTTGCTCGAGCCGTAGCGGAGATATTCAATTTTTTTCTCGATAAACGGACTTTTGGCCCACCCTATACTTATAAAATATTGCTATTGATGTACAAACTATTCAGACTAAAAAATTATCAAAAATAAGTATTTTAAAAGAACCGAGAAGATTTCTGAATTTTTCGAACTACTGTTACTAATTTTTTTATTATTTGAGTCATAATATAGTAAACTTAACATTCACATTCTTATGATTAATAGTTCATGATTAAAATTAAACCAACATTCTCTCAACATTTTGGACAAGTGTCTCATTGTTGAATATGAACAACTATTACTCATATCATTCGAGAATAAGCTCAATGAGTTTCTCACAATTACTTATTATATAATGATTGAAAGAGATTAATAGTATATTTTTGAAAGATCGGTCCTTTCAGTATTTACTGTTCTATCGATTAGAATGTAAGAGATAGTTCTTTATCAAGTTTTTAAAACTACATTTATCCATTTTTATATTAAAAAATAATAACAATAGAGAGAATTATATTTTAATCAGAATATATAACTATGGTTTCGTTTTAGTTTTCAAATGACATTGATCATACTGGCAAATGTTGCCTCTATCCTTTGATGGAAAGAGAAAGCGTAGCAATTTTTCTTTTTGCTTAAATTAATATATTTGTATGCAGCTATTGTGTATTGTCATTTCATTTTATGAGTATTAAAAAAAATAGAGAATTAATAAAGAAATACAGTTTGAATAAATCACAAAATGAAATAAAGAGACGAAATCAAGAACAAAAAGGATATAACGAATATTATAAAACTAGATACGGATTAAAATCAAACATATATTAGAGACTTTCTCAGATCTTTCTATTGTATTATTTCATAATAGTTGCATCTCTACTAAGAAAAAAAACTGATTATTTATAAATGAATTTACCCTAATCCAGATTGTGCCGCTTAAATTCAATAATTTTGAAAATTTTTCATCTAAAAGAAAAAAAACGTAAGGAGAATAAATAATATCTGATTTTGCTTTAAATCAAATTTTTACAGAACGCGTACTGTGTTTTACTTTTAAAAATATTATTTTTACAAAATTGGCATAGCATAAAAACAAAGTTTTTTTTACATTGCATTTAGTACTACGAATCATCTAAGAAATCGAAATACGATTATAAAAAATTGCTCATCCCAATTTTCAAAAAAAATTTTCAGTATCAAAAGGGTTTTCTGTTTTTTTATGAAAGAAAGCATTCCGATTCATCTGTTATAAAATTTTCAGATTTTCCCATCAACTCATTCTTCCGAAACGGTTGAAAGTTCTATGGATAGATTATCCAATCAAATAGATTCCATAAATCAACATAATCAAGAGTGGAATAGAAATCGCAAGATTTCGTAAGTATTATTCAGCATTTTCTTCGTATTATACTTTAAGCATCTTTCGCTTAGCCATAAAAAACGATCTTGTCGCCAATGTTCACATGTTTATTTATTTCTGCTTCCATTGGCTCTTATTATTTTTGGTTCAATCATCGCTATAGTGCTCACTGCAGTGATCGAAGTATCTACAAGTACCTCACCAACAACAACTACTATCACTACAGCAACAACAACAACGGTTACTACAGCAACATCAACAAGTACTACCTCGTTGTCGACAACAAGCAAAACAACCAGCACTACATCATCATCAACCAGCAGTACCTCGACATCGACAACAAGCAAAACAACCAGCACTACATCAACATCAACAACTACCACTTCGACAAAGACAACAAGCACAACAACAAGCACTACATCAACATCAACAAGCACTTCCTCAACAACAAAAACGACATCAACAAGTACAACTTGTAAAGTATCTTTCATATATTCTACATTTATTTACTTTTTGTCACTTTCAGCAACAACATCAACGACAATTACCACAACGACACGTAAGTGAAATAAGATATATTTAGTAGATTTCTCACTTATCGAGATAAAGTTGAACATAGCTCTATTTTTCTTATTGTAATATAAACTCATCCTTTCGATTATCTGAGGTATAAAGCATTATCAGATTCTATAGCTAGTGTAACGTTTTGAAAATAAAATTGGATGAGTAGATGAAACAGGAATCCGAACTTTCGGACCGGATCCAAATCTCTACGTCATTAATCCCCATAAAAAGTCCTATTTCTATGAACAGTTGGTACACTGTATAGTGTTCAGCAGTATGCATTTCCAGTAAAACGTAGTACTCAGCAGGACGACATAGTGCTAAGCAAGACGCCATACTGCTGAACACTACACAGCATACTAACTGTTCATAGAAATAAGATTTTTTTTATGGGGATTAATGAGGTAGAGATTTGGATCAGGGCCGAAAATTCCTTGGGCCGAAATTCATGTAACCCGATCAAACGAAGAATCGATAGTCTTCAATTGTTATGATGAATAAGCTTTATTCAGTATTGAATGTGATGTATTAATAGTATTATTGTCGTTAAGGATCAATTGATAATAGAATATAAACGAAACATGTAATGTAACATGGAATTGCAAGTTTGAAACGAAAAAAATTGTTTCGATTTGTTACATTATAATAACATTTAGTAAAGGCTATATTAAACTACGAAATAAGATTTTGTGCCACATAAATTGTGTAACGTAATTGAAAAACTGTTGCACAGTTTAAGAAAATCGAAGGAATAACTATTGAATAGATGTTAATCATCCATTCATTAACACATGTGTTTGCTGCCGATGATTGCCTTCTACTGTCCTGAAGATCATTTATTTGAATATTGTAACTGATGCCTGAAAGGATTTCTTGCTTGTTCTCAAAAGTATCCGTCAATATCACTGAATACAGTTTTAAAAGTTATTTAGTTATACATATTCGAGCTGGATATACTTTTCTTTTCTCTTCTATTTTGATAGAAATTGAGTAATAATATGATTCAAGGTCGTTAGTCATTTATTGAAGGGGCAAAAAGAAAACAGCTAACGAAGATGAATCATTAAATAGAGATTATAGAGAGTGCCATCGAAGACTTCGATTCAAAATTTTCTTCCTTGAGCTATGTTTATTATAAATAGAAAATGTTGAGTTTATAAAACAAACTCCCTGTTATATCTCTCAGACAATTCTTTCGATGTTGATATCCTACCTGAAATAGAAAAAAAAATTTCTTTATAACTTCAAATTGATACCATGGGTCGTTATTGTTACCTCAAAATTCACGTAACAGAAGTCTATCATGGGCGTAATACAGACTATTGCCACTAGCAATTGCTAACTGGAAATAAATTCACAGAAATCTAGAACCATAATTTGTAGAGAAGAAACACTAGATGTTTTATTTTCTCTCACATAAACATAAGATATTACGTTTTAATCGATATTAGATCTTTAAACTAATATAGGAGATATTCGGAAGTTGGAGATGTATACTTTTATAACGAGTATTTGGACAATTTTTCCAGATAGATTTGATAAAAAACTGTACGCATTACCGAGTTTCGCAAATGCCATAGAAATAAATTGCAATCTTAACGAAAACTTCACACACATTCTGTTTGATTTTCTTGCAGTTTTTTCCATTATGTACACTCAAAGTTTCACTTATCTCACCTCTCCATCATCTCAATGCACGGCTTGGAACACATTTATAAGTTTGTTAGCCGTCCATAATTATACGTCATTGACAATCAGTGGTACAAATAATCCAACAGGCATAACACTGACAAATTCAACTTATGTTATTGCCATAGCAAACGCTCTGCGAACGTATACCGCATATGGTTCTGTGACATCAAACGGTCATTCATGGGCGGTTGGAGCATGCGGTAGTGGCTTGGAGCTAACTGCGACAGGCAGTGTATGTATGTGTAATACCGGTTATACGGTGCGTCCCTGTATCGGAAACTATCAGTGGGGAGGCATAAATGGGGTCACATGCAGTGCTTCAAGTCAAACAATGACAGTTATATTTCAGTGAGAACATAAGCTTTTCAGAAATAAGACGATATCAGATTGTGTGATCGGGTATACAATACTTTTTACAGATGATCCTTGTCTCTATTATTTAGTTAACACACGCTTGTTCTTTTTCGTTTTCTTTTCTTTGATTCATGAACTAGTTCTTCTACTTTTTATTGCACGTACAGTTCATTTCTTTTTCATTTTTTCCTAATTCATAGTTGACATATAGAGAAGTGAATACGCAACCACGCTCATTCAACAGATATTTAAGAATTTTTTACTGGTGCATATGAGCACACATCTTTCTTCAATGAAATCCGATCGATCACTTTTCTCATGTCTAGTGATGATTGTTATCATCACATTCAGACTAACTAATCACGATGTATTTACTCTAACAAATGAATAATAGAAAAAAATGAATCCTAATTGTAAAAATATGCTACACAATAGATTAGCAACATCGAAACATTGACTATTGAGGGTGCGAAGGTGACGGGTATGGGTGGGTGTGGGATGTGGGTGTGGATGTGGGTATTATATGCTTGTACACCCACTCCCACACCCACAAATGAGCACCAAATTAGTTATATGTGAAATGAGCACCAAAAAAATAAGACAATTGAGCACAAAATTTATTATATGTGAAATGAGCACCAAAAAATAAGACATTTGAGCACCAAATGAAAAAAAAACAATGTAAAAAAGATGAGTTATGTTTTGAACAGATAGAAATTATAGTATACACATATAAAATCATTCAATTGTGATAGAGTCAACTCGAATTGACGATTTACTGATCAAGAAGCACAGACTAAGGGTATGTATTGGTGTGACTATAGCGTAATGAGATCTACGTTCTAAGCCACACCCCACCCTTCACCTTCACTCTCACATCTACAAAATAGTATCTTGGGTTTATGTGGGTGTGGGTGAGGGTTAGAACGTAGATCTCATTACTCTATAGTCACACCAATACATACCCTTAGTCTGTGCTTCTTGATCAGTAAATCGTCATGAGAATCGTCAATTCGAGTTGACTCTATCACAATTGAATGATTTTATATGTGTATACTATAATTTCTATCTGTTCAAAACATAACTCATCTTTTTTACATTGTTTTTTTTCATTTGGTGCTCATTTCACGTATAAAAAAATTTGTGCTCAAATGTCTTATTTTTTGGTGCTCATTTCGCATATAAAAAAATTTGTGCTCATTGTAACAAATTATATTGATGGTAGATGATTTATTTAAGTTGTTACTGCTGCAGCTTTTATTTTTTATTTGTGATCACAAAGAGAAACTGGAAGAATAGTGTTACTGCTATTCTTCGTGTATATGGTGTTAACGTTCTACACTTTTCCAACTCTACATCGTTCCAGTTCTACATTTTTCCAGTTCTACATTACAACACAAAGCACACGCTTTATATACGCGCACATAAGAGAGAGAAGAACAGAAAAAGATATGATAGGCATAATCGCAATTCACTAATTACCTTTAAAGATGTAATCGTGTTACGCAAAGATATACGGATAACCTAAAGAAGAAGATCAGAGAGATTGACGACAGTTGTAGGTTATACAATGCACATTGATAATGACCTACTACATAACACTTATCAAAAAGTATTCCTCCTTTCTGTACGACAGACTCAGAGGATAATCAACAAAACGGAAATGTAGATATGTGAACAATAAAGGATGTCCATACATTATTGGCACACCCTCACACTCAGATTAGACGCGCTCCTGAGCGTCTATAGTTACATCGATCACTGCACTTACATAGGCAGAGAAAATAAACACTTCACAAAAAAAAATATAGCTAACAAAAACGGAAAATCACATAAAAAGTAAAGGATTCAAACATACACATCGTTCAGATGCAAACTTGGTTCACCATGACGTTCATCTGTAATAAAAAAAATAAAATGTTCCATCTTCATCTTACTCAAATTTCGATCCTTGTTTCTCATGGTTGAACCAGCTACACGGTTCCTGGGTCGTTCTCACAGCCGCATTCTTGTACGATGCTTAAACTTGACATCATGATGCCTGCCAACGTTTGCCCTTGGACACCGCCGTCGTCAGAGTCGTTGAGAAGATCCGTCATCGTATCAGTCTTCGTTTTGTTTGATTGTGTACTTCTTTGACTGTCGTTTTTCTTGATGATGATGTTGCTTGACTTTGATAAAATACTATTTCTCTCATTTAATTGTGTATAACTTTATTGGTAACATTAATAATAACTTGTAACTTCATTGGGATGCGTTATATAGAATATGATTGAGAGCACAGATAATGAAAGAGTCGAGAAGAAAAGACATGAAACGTACTGATGTTATTAAGGAAAGTGCGTTGCAGCATTCGCACATCTCGGTCTCCAAGCTAACCGTCCATTTAGTACGTCCACTGATGTTTTGTAACGTTGACAACACGCAACGCCATGTCTCTCATCTCGCATCTCCACATCCATCCATTAATTCAATCTATCCTGATCATTTAACATTATTTTCTGTTTCCTAATTGATTTGGTACTTATAATCGTTAATTATCAGTCTTCCATTGGTATTGTTTTTCCTTGTAATATATTATCATAAAAGATTGTGATTAATTGTGTTGTTTCGGAATAAAACCATGTGGATAAGTATTATTGAAATTTCATCGTTAAACTGGTAAAGATCTAACTTCGGATCATAAGATTTGTATAATTCATTCTGCCACAACTGATATGAAGAATTCGGTGATGATTCCGAAAGTGAACAGAAGAATATGATAAAGGCAAAGAACACATGAAGACATTTGAGAAAGAGATATGAAACGTATTGATGTTACAGAGGAAAGTGCGCCAGGACACACGCACAGTCGACTGGGACTTAGTCGCCCTCTAATACGTTCACTGATGTTCTGTGACATTCTCGCTATGCAAATATTGCCCCCTTCAATATTGCAATCATTCGACAATGCCATATCTCAATCTCACACAG